TGGCGCTTTTGCTCTAGTAGACCCTCCCTCCATAAAAATAACAGTATTCATATTATATGGAGCATGATAGCTCAGCACTTGTCAGCTGGAAAACTGACAGCTCAGGTTCGACACCCGAATGCTGCAAGATGGGATGAGCTCCAGTTACATATCCCAGCTCCTGCCCACCTACAGTTCAAAAGTATGCATATGTGAGTTGAAAAATAGGTACCACTTTGTGGGAATACAACAGTGTTCCGTGCACTGTTCAGTGTATGGCTGCATGTCCACAAAAGCATTTTTGGACAACGCTGGCTCCCTCAGCTTAGAAACAGAGATGTGCTGCCCCCTAGAGGCAGATACAACTGGAAGGGGAAACGTTTACCTTTATTATATTTCATAGGATTTTAATGTTTTCTTCATTTTTGTCCAGAGAAATAGGGAATACTAAATCACAGAAGTTTTGTTTTATAATAATAAAGTCAGTTTTGCTGATTAATTATGAGATTTTGTCATGCCCCTGGTGGAGACTGACTCTGAGGGAGAGGAGGAACAGCCAACAGGGAATGGAAATGTGGTTCCGGAGGTGGTGGAGGAGGCTGGGGAAGGGCAGAGGCCGGCTGAGCAGTCAGAGGAGAACCCAGGCCCATCCCCTCTCCATCCTAGGGCACGTAGAGAGGAGAGGATAAGGGAGAGATGTGGTCTACTCGGGAGGAGAGGGTCTTGATCCTCTTCATGGGCTGCAGCTGTGACAACTGAATAAGAGAACAGACATGAGTACAGGTGAGTGCTGGAAACAAAGCATGGAAATATCTCTAGTTTATGGTTCCTCTCTGAGTTTGGCGTCCTTCCCAGTGTGTGTTATCTGTGGACGTCCTCCAGCCCTTATCTTGCCTGGTTTGTGTTGTTTTTTTCCTTCTTTGTGTAACTGTTTGTGTGGGAGTTTTTTGTCTTCCGTCAAGAATATTCGGAGCTTGGAAGCAAAGTGAAGGAATAAAAGGGGCTTAATCTGTTTTCTGTGACTGTGTGTGTTTTGTATCCCACCCTGGGTCATCACAGATCTACTGGGTATCACCATAGTCCCTAAATTTTAGAGTACACACTAAATTTTACTATTCACATTAAATTAATTAATTGCACTAACTGTAGGTTATGAATAGGTTTGATGTTCAAAGTCTGTCTGTTTCTTGTCTCTTTTTTATGGAAGAGCATGAAAAGAAGTACATATTTATTCAAAGGCATGGCAATAATTTTTACTTCACTTTTATTATTTCTGATTTTAAAAAATCAAACATGTTTATACCTAATGAACAGTTGGTCCTGTCTAAAGGGCACCTCCAGATAGCCAGTGACCTTTCGACTAGTCCTTCAAGCAGCACAGAAAAAATGTTATTATAATCTGTTATATGCCAATAGCCATTTTTCTTCTGCTTCAGTAATATTTCACATTACAATTCAAGAAATGAGGTCAACTTTGTGGTAGTTCTCTTGTCCCCATAAACTTCAATCATTTCCTACTCTTCCCGTGAGAGGATAATAATGTTGAAGTGTCATCCAGTTGGTGTTGACACTTAGCAACTACATGATAGACTTTCTCCAGGAGGAACCTGGCCAAAGTTTGTCCTTCAGGTTTTCTAATGATGCATCTATTTTTACTGTAACCAACTCCATCCATCTTGCTGTTAGATATCTTTTTTTCCTTCCATTTTCCCCAGTATTAGAGATTTCCCAACAAAGTTAGGTTTTTACATAATGGGTCCAAAATTGAACCTGATCTTCTGAGCCTGGGATGAGGATCTGTTTTGATTTATTTGATGATCTCTGGTAAGAGTCTTCTCCAACTCTAAATTTTAAAGGCATCACTACCAGAGGTGGTATTCAGCAGGTTCTGACCAGTTCTAGAGAACTGGTAGTGGAAATTTTGAGTAGTTCGGAGAACTGGCAAATGCCACCTCTGATTGCCACAGATAAGGATGCTTCCCCTCTGGTATGAGAAAAGTATTTTTCATGCAGGTCCTTCAGACATTTGGGGACCCCTCGTGTTCTTGTCTTCTGTGTTTTGTTCTATCTTGTCGACTTCAAAGTATTCTACTCTGGACACATTCTGCGAAGACCCAACTCTGCAGAAGGCTCTAATGTCGGGAAAGATGGGAAGGAAGAGAAGAAGAGGACAACCAGCAGCAGTTGGATGTGATGGATGCCCAGTTGGAAGACCAGGTTGGAGACAGATCATCATGGAGAAAATCAATTGAAAGGGTCTCTGGAAATTGAAAATAACTTGATAGCACATAATCAAGCAGTCAACTTGCCTGCAGAAGATTTATGGAAGATTCAAACGCTTATATGCTATTTTGTGGTGTTGATAACCTAACATCCTATGGTGGAAGAGAGAATTTTTTTCCAATGTGTGCGCATGCATCATAAAAACATCCATTGTCTGGGAAATATCAAGGTTGCAGTTAAAAGCATTTAGTTGCATAATGGGTTCTGAGAAATCTAAGAGGAAGCCCTTTCTAGAATCCACAGTATCCAGGATTACAACTTCTCCCTTGACAACAGTTACAAAAAGACACAGAGGGGTTTTTTTGTTGCTCTTGCCATTGCTTTTAAGAAATAGAAAAGGGCGAGAGGGAGACTTTGCAGGCAGGATAATGTGTAGTTTGGAGTGATGGCTGATTTCTTCTCGGAGTAAATCAGATTTTGAATACTTGGAACAATCTAAAGTTTTGTTTTCTTGCAACCAGTTTTGATTTGGAAGCACATTCTCCAACATGTTGCTTTTCTTACAGAATAAAACTTGCCCCATGCAATCTCACTGTGAGATTAATCTCCACTCAGAATTTGGAATCTGGGGAATTGGAATAGGTGAGGGACTGTGATTTTTCAGTTCCTTACCAGGAACAGGATTTCAGCATTTATTTCAGTTCCGTAGTCATGTGGGAGATTCGGGACAAAACTAGTGCAGATACTTTTGCCTAGTATTGATTCTTTCCCTGGGCTTATTGCTTTATGAAACTTGATCAGTGTTTTTATGAGACAGAAAATGAATTAGTTCTGCTTCGTGATCGCACCAAACATACATTTGGGTTCCTATTCAGCAGAATGACTAATGGCCCAGGAATAGCACAATATCACCTTGGGAACAATTGATGAGAGCTTTCTCACTTACAAACATTGCCTGCCTCATTTAAATGGCTTTGTGAGGAAAGCCATAAGGGTAGTTTTGAAAAAGCCAGGTATTGACGCACAAGTAATCAGAAACAATTTGTTTGGTGAGATCACTAATCTGACGATGTTTTTTCAAGTACTTGTTGCAATATGTAGATATCTAGTTTGCAATGTGTATAACTTCAGCTCAGTATTTATTCCTCCCTAATACTGCATTATGTATATTCATCAAAGCTTTGGTCTTCATAATTTATTGTAGGGTATTCCTTTTATTAAGAGAGCCAGTTTGGTATACAAGTAATCCTCAAATTACCATAGTCAGACATGATATTCTTCCGATTAAAATCGGAATTCCGATTTTTTTGGGAATCGCCCCCCCCTTTCC